GTACAACAAGCCAAGATTCTGAAGTACCCTAAGCCTAGCACTTGGGATCTTCACCACATCCAGAACTATCTCCAGTCCGCAGCGATGGGCGACCTTGCGTTGAATGGGTCCGACGCAGAGATATGGGGCTCTGCATGCGATCACAAGTCCTACAAGCCAGATCTGGTGACTCTATGTCCTCGCGCAAAGAAGGATGCCTTTTCCGCATGGGCTGCAGAGAGTACCATCACCAACCTCTTCAGGTGTGGCTGTGCTCGACACATGAAGCCTTCCCGCGTTCATGGAGTGGTCGGCTACGAAGATAGCACTATCTATCGCATTACCTATTGGATAACCAGTATCCTCGCGTCTCTCATACCGATAGCATCTATCGCCGTACTGTATCGCGTTCAGTCCATGACTGCCCGACTTGGCATCATTGCTGGGTTCAACGTCCTGGTTTCTATCTGCTTGATGGGCTTGGCTAATGCGAAGCGCGCCGAGATGTTTGCGATTACAGCTGCGTAAGTACATATACGTCCTTCTCAATGCCCACCTACTGACTAGACTTAAGATTTGCTGCTGTACAGGTCGTCTTTGTTGGTTCTGACAGGAGCACTGTCGGATGAAGGTTAATCTGGATTCAATCGCAAGAAGGCACGATTATTTCTAGACAGAGACGTGGACATGCCCAACAAAAATAAACAGTATTGGTGACTGGTCATCCCATAACTCCGTCGCTTAGCATGTCGGTCGTATGCGCTGCAGGAAATTGTCGGTAAGCGGCATGCGCTGTAACCGCCTGCAGACGTACGCCACCAACTTCGGCACAGCACTCATCCGGCCACTGAGCCGTTGAAAAGACTCAGTTAAATCTCACCCCGCCCCGCGGCAATTCACCTCCATAAGCAACCCAAACAAGCATCAACATAAGAAGTCGTCATCTTTATCTCGTCGCAGTCCGGCTCCCGTCCATTGTCGGCGTGTTACCTCAACGTCAACTGGGATTGGTGACCGAATCAATCTTGGATCGTATGAAAGAACCCAATCCGGCGTGTATACGTGTGTGCAGTATGTTTCGGGTGCGGGGTCAGGGTTTCCGAGCCTTGGCAGCTTGTTTCTGTCCAAGTCAGTATTGCAACCATGAATCAGAGCTTTGACGGCTCACCTGTTGCTGTTCATACTTCCTCTTCTCCTCTCGATCTTTCTTACGTCTTTCTTCAGCCTCTCGTTGTTTTTGAGCGATCTTCGCAGCTGTTATGCGTCAGTAATGGTCCACGATTTGCGGCTAAGAACGTACAGTCGACACGGGGCGGTGAAGTCATAAAGGCTCCGAAGAACTCGCGGTTCCCTTGCAAGAGACCCAACTCTACGATCGTTTCACTCCCAATCACGAGTTGGAATATCTCCAGATCTACCACGTAAAAGGTCGACATTTCGTACTTCGGTCGGAAATTGGGGACTTTTCGAGAATCGCTGCACCACCATCTTGCTCTGACCTCACCCAAGCACGGCACTTCGGTATTGTTGCTGAGTGTTATCATGATCGGATCCGTACTGGGGCTTGGTGACAGACCAAACACCTCTAGAAATTGAGGAGTGATCAGGTTGTACTGGCATTGCGTATCCACAAGAACAACGCCAGGGTTGGTTCTTGTCCACTCTTTGCGATCTTTGTCCCATACAGAGACATCCACCTTCCTTCTGAAGTTTTCGTTCTTCTTTGCGGGTGTGAAACTGCGTCGGAGCTTGTGTGATAGCGAAGGAGCATCGCATGTCGTTGTGTTGGACGGCAGATAAGACTTGAGGCATCGTTTGAACCTAGAGAACGTGCAGCTGATTGTGAGCTTGCGCCGCTTGGTCTTGCTCTTGAGTAACTCGTCGTTCTCATCCATCTGGCCAGAGACTTGGGTAGGAAGCGCTGGGTCGATTGATACGGTGCGATCACCTTGGACAAATTGTTAGCTTTGAGCAAATCATCTCTGTTACAAGGCTTAGTGACTCACTGCGCGAAGAGAAGAGTCTCTTGACTTTACTGGTTCGATCCATGTCGGCCGGAAATGTTTGATTGTCCATAGTGGTAACAATGCAAGAGACGGGAGATGGTGGAAGTCGAGGTTCGCGGATATTACGAAACGCTGCAGGAGATCAAGGGGGCTAGTATAGTAGTATGGTTCATCGGGACGGGGCTGAGCTTGATCGGGCTTATACTTCAGAGCCTCAGTGAGCCAGGCTGCCTACTCAGGTGCTGTGCCACCCACAAAGAGGCGACGATCCGCTGAGAGGACCGGACAGACGTGTTCATACCAGACCAAGACCTTGCGAGGGTGGCGCAGCGACTCTGCAAGGTATCCGCATTATATCGTTGCTCTGACGAGAAAGGTAATTTGTGAGAACCCATGGCTCACGAACATGTCTTCCACGAACAAAGCGTGTAATCATGTAGATACCCGTTAATTACTGTAAACTAAGTCCATTTCAACATCCACACCAAATGCTTCCACGGGTGCAAAGTCTGTGAACCTGTCAGTATTGCTCATGCAATGGGCAACCGCTGAGCGGTAATTCATTACTCAACGGGGATGGGGCAAGACGAATTCACCGGATACGGTGAACGGGTATGGACAAATTCCCAAGTTCTTCGAACCATCGCAGCTGAGCCTGTGATTAACCAATGTGCAGCCTGATCCTTGCACCGGTCAGCCGGTGAACATGGTCAGATTCCTGGAAGGCTGTGGCGCAGCATCACATTACACCTTCGGTGGCTCCGAAACGACATTACCAGTGGGAAAGGAAGCTGCTGTCGTCTAGGCCCAGACGTCTTTGCGCGTCATATTCTGAAAAACTGCCTCGACGGGCGCCTTGTCTAATGATGCCATTACACGTCAAGTGTGCTCCTGGTGTTGCTCTTTACTCGTCTCCGTGGTATCGAATAAGCTGAGCAGCCTGTGCCAGGCCCCAAACACAGTATTGGTATGTATCGTGTCTTGATGTGTCGATCAACATGCAGGCTCATGGAGCGTCGTCTTCCTGGCGAGCGTCGGGCTGTGCTCCCACCCAAGCGAGTCGTCCACCGGTCACTAGCAATGATTAGCAGGCAGTGTACCGCGCATGAACCTGTCCAAGCGTCTGTTAGTCCGCTATGGCGTGTATGTCGATGGTGTCGCCTTCGTTGGTGACCTAACCGTTTTCGCATTAGCAAACAGCCGTGAGGTCTGCAGAGTGACTAGCATATGCCAAAACCTAGAAATGTATTCGATGAAGTATCACACACTTTTCCCAAGCTGTTGAAACCTTGAACTCCGCGATAGTGACACGAGAGGCTCAAGCCTCCTAACCATCCACCTTCGCTGCAGTATCAGCGACCTCCCCAGCCGTCTCAGCCATCTCCTGATCCTCCTTCTTCTCAGCCTTCTCCGCATCTCCCTTACTCGGCACACCATCTTTGTTATCCACAAGCTCCCTCACCACATCGACCGTAGCCGCCGGACCACCAGGCTGCACCGCAAGCACCTTGCCCTCCTTGTCAACAACAAAGACGCCGCGTGTTGTGCTCTTCGGGGGTTTCTTGAAACCAATGGCAGAGATGAGGCTCTGTGAAGGGTCGCAAAGCAGGGTGTAGGGCAGCTTCTGCTTGGTCTTGAAGGTTGTGTTGGCTTTGGGGCTGTCGGCGGAGAGACCGTAGATGGAGTAGCCGGTTGCGGTAAGGGGGTCGTAGGAGTCGCGGAAGAGGCAGGCTTGTTTTGTGCCTGTGGTTGTACGCGTTAGTACTGTTCTGCAAACGCGATGGAGATGTCAGGGGTCGGAGACTTACATCCTGGCGTTGAAGCCTTGGGGTAGGTGAAGAGTACAACGCCACCCTTGCTCTCCTCTACGAGCTTTGCAAGCGTTGTCTTATCTCCATCATTCGTCTCAAATTCTCCGCCAAAGGATGCGAGGTCAATTGTGTCGCCGACCTTGGGTGGGCCAGTCGCAGCGGCAGCAGACTCGCCGTTGCTCTTACCGACAACAGCTTCCTTGACAGCCTCGACCTGCTCAGTGACAGTTTCCTGGACTTTCTCGACGACAGTCTTCTCGCTCTCAGGCTTCTTCTCCTTGGCGGGCGCCTTCTTCTTCGTTGGGCGCACAGGCGCTGGGGGCGCTTCCTTGCGCTTACGGAGCTCGACGGGCATGATGAGAATGGAGTCGCGAGATAATATTGCAGTCGCGTTAGTGTCGCGGGGACGTATAAACCTCGATCAGGGGGAAATTGGGCAGCGAAGAGGTCGGGGTCGGACGCTTGAGCGCTCGTGGAAATCGAGGTGGGACGGTTGGCCAAGGGCAGGAGTACGAAAACCAGCGGAACAATGGTACAACCCTTCGCAATATGAACAATCGTACCAGTCCGCGGGAAAGATATCCTCGGCCTGATTCAGTAAGAACTATAATATGTGCGTCGTCTAGTCAACGGTCGCAGCGTAAGCATCGTGGTGAGCCCGAGCGAGGCCAGGTCGTCCAGCCTCCTCACTTGGCATTTCCCGTCCACATCGATATTAGCCAGATTACCTGAGCCTGCGTCTTTTTCTTCGGGAAACAGCTTATTTCGGACGCGCACTGGGGTAGGAGAGGCTTGTCATTGGCTCGTGAAGTGAGGAGTCGTGAGATGCGCAGCGCTCGGTTGTGCAGGTCCCGGCGCGTCATAGCTTCCCTTCTGCGATGCTACTATCCTGCAGCAACACCGTCTCGCACAACGCCTACGACTTGATATCGAATGCGTTGAATCTTTCTTATCTTTACAACAGAATCGCGCTTCTAATGAACCTATGTCTTGGTTCTTAACCCCATAACGCCCATCAGCGAGCTTAAAAAAAAACACGAGAACACTCTTCCAGCCCATGCGCTACATCTATGCATCTTTGGTACCTCCTGAAACCCAGCTCACGGGGTGCCAGTTGTTCTCGCAAGAGAATACCTTGCCGCCAGACCCGCGGTTCAACGCCCATCCAGACGACCACATCCCAAGCCCAAACTGTAGCACGAGGTCAGCACTCGTCTTGTAATGTCTTGGGGAGCGGACTCACAATGAGCATGCCTAGAATGACAATAGAGATATTCAGAATGGTAAAAGCTGTTTGCGAAGTCGACGAGAACAGCCTACCGTTCTTCTTGTTGTGCCACAGCCACATCAGTGGAGGAAGCGCATCTATGCGCGTCAGCCAATGCACCTACAATCGTCCACTGTGAGTCGTGTTGGCAGTAACTTACAACTAAACCAGCTTCCAAACAGCGCTCCGATCAACCCCAACAACAGATTAAAGTTCGGCACTGCTTCAGCCAAGATCCAGCTTACCAGCCATGCGCCTGTACATATAGCGCCCCAACTTCCCAAGCTCTTCCAACTGTTAGTAGATGCTACATTGGTGCCCTTCCATACGCGAAAGTAGATGTATTTGGTCGCTACGGAGCCATTGACTACACCTGCGACGATGATCGTGGGCAGCGCGATGCCAAAGCAAATCTTGCTGACGAGGGGGGACGCGGAACCAAGGGCGGGTGAGGCTACGAGAGGCCCGGCGTAGTAGTATATGATGACGGAGATGAGCATATAAAATGTGACTGCGATACCCTGCTCGAAAATGAGGGCTTTGCGGAAGTCGCGAGGGTCTTCGAGTTCAGATTGGAACGAGAAGAAGGCGACGTGTCCAGCTGTATGAAATCAGCAGACGTCTTTATGACCAGAGAACAGGAAACAACGTACTGTAAGCTAAGACGATGTTCATCACGGGTGCGAGTCCCTTGACGAGTGGTACATCGGGTCGCACAGCAACGATGTTGCCCATATCTGGCTTCTGGATACTAATGGCGATCATAGTTACAGTAACTGCTACAATGATGGAAGCGCAAGCTGATATATGTCAGTCGCGAGCTCTCACGAAGCGATCGGATCCTTTGGCCTACAAAAGTAGCTAAAGTAGCTAATGTTCTTAAACGTTCTAGGCAACCCTAGCAGGAAGGAGATGATCAGTCCGACAACAGTAAAGACGATAGTGCAAGTGCCGTGATCAGTCATCGCATTCATCGCGACCGCAAATGTTAAGATGTGCGCCCCCATGATGAAGATCAGGACAAGTAGTTGTCCGACAGCAAGCACCTCGCGAAGCACTGGCCCGCTCATAAGCATGCCGCAATCCGCGTAGTTCGCTACAGACGGGTGAGCCAGCTTGAATTCGCCGATCAAATAGCCAGTGTATGTAGCGATGATGCCTAGGAAGCATATGCAGAGGAGACCGGGGACTAGGCCGAGGATTGCGAGGGCTTGTGGAAGGGCGAGGACACCTAATGAGACATTCTCTGCGAGCATCACTTGGTTGTGTTATTGATATGACGGTGCGAAGGTATGAGAGGCTTACGAGTTCCGACATTCCTGGCATTTGAAAGTCAGCGATATTTCAAAGAAGGATATCACGCCCAGCGAACGATGCATGCCGTACGCCGAGGAGCACCAAAGTACCGTTAAATCTCGTTCAGTAACACTGCACACAGCATCAGGTAGTTTGTGTACATACCACCACTTGCACGTCTTGTACTGTATCTCAGCGCCTTCCTCGTTACCAAAGACATCCTGTTCTTCAGCTGGCGCAGCCTGTCCTTCGAGGTCCGCCGACGGAGTCAATTGAGGCTGAATCGATTGCTCATCCAAGGGCTCTTCTGGTGTCGTCTTCTCTACTGCGTGCCTAGCCATGACTCTGTGTCGCTTGAGCTGTCTCTGCAGTCGCGTGGATATTGTCGTGAAGAGGGCCGGTGGAATACGAAGAACGGAGAATAAGGTTAGGATGGGAAGTCAAAGGATGACAGGAGCCGGTTGATCGTAGTAGCTGGCGTTGTCACGACACGGTACCAGTCTGGAATGCTGCAGGGGTGAGCGCAGTTATGAGCTCGTTGATGGCCATGTAATGACGGGCGCAGTCCGCTCAACTTGAAGACCGTGAAATGATGTGGGCCAAACGAGCGCCTGCAATTGCAAAGCATGGTCGAGATTGTGGGTGAGATGTTTGGGTGTACCACGGAAGCTTGTAGGATAGGGACATGCAGAGAGGGTAACGGATAACGGATCATTTTGAATCAATGGGTTCGAACGCGTATCTCTAGATAAGACATAGTACCATGCCAGTGCCACATTCTAATGTAATGATTACACTTGTATTGCAGCGGAGTGCGGAGGCCCTGATTGCAGGCTTGAGCTGTGGTAGCGAGCCCTTGATACCCAAGTTTCGGGCACGCGTCGCTATCGATCTGTATACTGTATGCAAATATAAACAGTCTCAAAACGTACGACATGAAAAGAGAAGACTGGGATGAAAGAGCAATGGCAGCAACTGTGCGGTTTCCAGTTCGAGAATGTATGTCACAAGTGCTGCCTGCCGGGTAGTATATGGGTAGAGATCTGAGTCGTTATTCATGCGATAGGAGCACCGCAAGAGATATTGGCCTAATGGCAGTAGTTGAAGTGGGGAAGAAGAGTCTCCAATGGATGGAATAGATGTTAGCTACGTCATCACGTGGACGCGTGAGGCAAGCGCGATCCGGGCTGCCGCCACTCCACACTCCTCATCTTCCCCCGCACATAAGCCAATCGTACCAGACTGCCAAACCGATACCCTCTCGCTCGCCTTGCGACGCCAGTTACATCACACACACGCCATGAACTCCGACCTGGGCCTTCCGCCGACGCGCGCGACCCGCAAGCGAAAGACTACCACGTACGCCGACGACGATAACGATGACGATGCGCACCTCAAATACCAGTCCACACCACGGAAAGCCAAAAAGACGAAGAGCGCACCCGAAGTAATCGACTTGACGGGAGATTCCCCCAAGAAGTCTCAGAAGACTCTTGCTAAGAAGAGAGGCAAGCGCGACGCCGATGCGCCTGCCGAAGAGAAGCGTGCGAGGGTGTTCCGCAAGCAGGCACCACAAAGCTACCTCGCGATCAAGGAAAGAGCCTTCACACAGCGCCTCACGGTCCTTTCGCGCGAACGCTGCGGAAGCGATGATGTGCCCGAGGAGAAGGTCATTGTCGCAGGCTCTACAGGCAACGTCTACACCGTCTCAGTTGGTCTCGTCCCGAGCTGTGACTGTCCACACGCGAAGAAGGGCAATCAATGCAAGCACATCATATACGTCATGTTGCGCGTGCTGAAGGCACGGGAAGATGTCGCATACCAGCTAGCCCTCATCCGCTCCGAGCTGCGCGAAGTCATCAAGAACGCGCCGCCCATTCCCGGCGTTGAGACAGACGGAAAGGACGGTACTGAACAAGAGGGCCAAGACGGCAACCGCAAGCCCATCGAGGGTGAATGCCCCATCTGCTACGACGAACTCGGCGAGAACGAACCCATCGTATACTGCAAAGCCAGCTGTGGAAACAACGTGCATAAGGCTTGTATGGCGAATTGGATTGCTGTCTCAAAGGGCAAAGCGACTTGTCCATACTGTCGTGCCAAGTGGGAGGCAGACACAGGCCTCGAGGGTAAGCTGGGCGAAGTCGACACAAAGAATCTGGAGAGGAATGAGGACGGCTATGTTAATGTTGCAGGACAACTCGGTCTCAGTGGGGAGCGGGATTATTCCACATATCATCAGTACTGGGTCCGACGACATCTAGGCCATGGTGGGCGGAGGAGGGGTGGCTACGATTACGATGGTGACTACTAGGCCCATGGTAGTTGATGCGTGAGTGTGTAGGAGGTGTGTATTTGGCGTTCAGGACATTGATACCCAGGAGCGACAGGCGCACGACACTGTGCAAGACATTTTTCATCAGTTGTATCTCTAAAACAACTACTCGTTTGACTCAACCGCTTCCTCGCTTTCCTTCGTTTACTCAACATCATGCGTGTTCACTTTCCGCATCTCCAAACCCACTCACCTCGGCCACATCGGAAATTAAACCCTCAAGAATAGCACAAATAGCGATCGCCACGTACGCAGCGCAACTCCCCCAAACATACCCACCTGCCACCGGGCATCTTGCATAATCAAGAAATCGATCAACATGATCTGAACATGTCACCTGCATCCGCCTTCGCCTCGTTTCCAGACCCACAACCTTTTCTAACTTGCGTCAACACGATCAGCACGAACGGACGTCCTCGGCGAATTTATTCACGTCCATCTATAGCTCGTGTACTACCATCCCGTCCGATGCCCAATACGAGCGTATAATGACGCGTACCAATCTTGCGAGGGAACGATCCCAGATGCGGTCTATTGATATCAGATGCAGTATAGATCCACATCCACCAGTAGTCGCTCGAGCCACGAGGGATCAACAACGACAGTGCACGTTCCTTCCACCAACAGGATGTAGCATAATGTAGTACTGCGAAAAGGCTGTCGGCGCCTGAAAGCGTGTTGTGTGCAGTCATGTACCCTGCGGCACGGTAAGTAAGTTGGAGCGGCTCGAAAGGAGAGGCGGAGCTGAATGCGAATGGCTGGATGGAGACGTCCTGCACCAGACCCGCGAGCGTGGCACTGCGGATGCGAGTGGCTGTGTTTGCTTTATTAGACGTTACACTTGTGGCCGATCATGCGAGAACGTGCAAGCGGTGGCGCGATGATGTACAGGGATGAGGTCGGGACAGTATGCAGGTACAGTGATCAGCTTTGCAGATTAGGTTTGTGTCACTGGGAATCTGGTCCCGACTTGCGACAGAGTTCGACGAGAGCGGCAAGGGAAACGCTGGCGCTCTAACTTATGGAAGAAACATCACAATTGAGATTGGAGGCAAGATTCAGTTGCAAAGAGTAAATTCAAGAAAACTAGATAACGCCAGGTCATTTGACAACCACAACAAAGGAAAAGTCTAGGAACAAATCGAAGTTCATCAAACATTGCAGTCTGACTGCGCCCACATACCAGAGTCCGACGAGCATGGGGAATCCGAAGAGTGATGTGGAAAAAGACAGTCAATATATTGTCGAATGTACATGATATCAACTGTCTAGTCCCGGCTTTTACGTGAACAATCCATCACAAAGGAAACCACCCAACGCTTTGCCCCTGCCCGAGGGAACTTGATACAGTAGACAGACAAGACATGCGAGAATGCGGATCAAGGGATCCTACCAACAAAGGACACTAAGAAAACGCGAAGCTCATATACAAGAAATGCACTTTAGCGCTTAGTAGGTGCCGTAGCCGGAGCCGTAGCCGCTGCCAGAGCCGTAGCTGTTGTCAGGGGTAGGGGTGGGGGCAGCGGAGGAAGAGGCAACGGTGGAAGCCTCAGGAGTCTCAGTGGAGACGGCAGCAGAGCTGGAGGCACCGCCGTAGCCGCCACCGACGGGGTAGGCAGCGGAGCTGGTCTCAGCAGAGGCGGGGACGCTGGAGGAGGGGATAGCGGTCTCGCCGGTGGGGGTGGCTACCTCAGAGACGAAAGAGAAGCTGGGGAGAACCGAGGTGGGGACGGCACCGGTGCCAGTGGGCATAGCAGGCTTGGTGGAGGTCTTGAAGCCAGTGGGGCCAGCAGGGTAGGGGTTGGTGCCGTTACCGGGGACGGGGTACATGGCAGTGGGGACGGCGGGCATGCTGGAGGAGGCAGTCTGCTCAGAAGGAACCTCGGGGGTTGGCTCAGGAGCGTTGGGGGTGGCAGCGGGGTAGTCACCACCCTTGGTAACGGTGACGGTCTCCTTGGCAGTTACGGTAACAGTGACGGGAGCAGCGCAGTCCTCACCACCCTCGCTTCCAGCAGGAGTGGAGGGCTTGGCCTCACCACCAGCAGGGCCAGTGGGGTAGGCACCGTTACCACCAGCGGGGCCGGAGGGGTTGGACTCAGAGTCAGCGGGGACATCGCCCTCACCAGTGGGAGTGGGCTTGACGGTGATGTACTTGGTGGAGGTGGAGGTAGACTTGATGGTGGAAGTGACATCCTCCTCACCGGCGGGGCCAGTGGGGTAGGAGCCCTCGCCGCCAGCAGGGCCGGTAGCCTCAGAGGGAACCTCACCAGTAGGAGTGGGCTTGCCGACAGTGACGACGACAGTGGAGTACTGGGTGGAGGTGGAGGTGGAGGTGACCTCAGTGGTGACTGGGTGGGCAGTCGAGCCAACACCGACGGTGTAGACGAGGGTCTCGGTGTAGGTCTGGACGACCTCAGAGACGGGGTAGGAGCTGGTCATGGCCGAGCTGCCGGTGGGCTTGGGGAGGTCAGACTCGGGGCAGACGGTGGTGCCGACGGCAACAACGCTGGTGACGAGCGCGGTGGAGTGGGCCGGGCAGTCAGTGACGGTAGGGGGGCAGGCAGTCTTGGTGAAGATCTGGGTGCTGTAGATGGTGGAGGTCACCATGTCGCTGATGGGGGTGGAGGAGACACCGCTGGGAACCATGCCAGTGCCGGTAGGGACCATACCAGTGCCAGTGGGGTAGAGACCAGTTCCGGACATGGTGCTGGTGGCAGCCTCAGGAACGACCGAGGAGGGGACACCTCCGTAGCCGCCGCCGACTGGGTAAGAGCCGGAGGGGATGGCAGAGCTCATGCTGACGCCGGGAACGACGGAGCTGGTGGTGGCAGCCTCGGGGACCTCAGAGGAAGCAGAGGAGGGCTTGCCACCGTATCCACCACCGACGGGGTAGGAGCCGGAGGGGATAGCGGAGCTCATGCTGACACCGGGGACAGAGCTGGAGCTAGCGCCAGCAGGGACCGATGAAGAGGCAGCAACGGGAACGGAGGAAGAGACACCACCGGAGGGGACAACGGCAGAGTAGCCGGTGCCGTAGGCGGAGGAGGAAGCAGCAGAGCTCATGGTGGGGATGGCAGCAGAGCTGGAGGTGGCAGCCTCAGGGACGGCGGAAGAGGGAGCTCCGTAGCCGCCGCCAACGGGGTAGCTGGCCATGCTGCTGGTAGCAGCATCGGGGGTGCTGCTGGAGACACCGCCAGCAGGGACGCTGGGAGTGTAGGTAGCATCGGCAGGGGTGCTGGAGGTCTCGAAAGCCGGGGAAGAGGACTGGATGTATGGGACCTCAGCGGACGAGGAGACGACCGGGGTAGCAACCGAAGAGGAGACGGGGGTTGCGACGGTGGAGGCCTCGGGGGTCTCTACGGGAGTAGCAGAGCTGACAACAGCAGAGCTGGCGGGGGCGGAAGAGCTGGCGACAACCGGGGGCTGGGCGCCGTATCCGCTGCCGTAGCCGTTGTTGCCACTCTCGTAGCTGTTTCCACCACCGTAGGAGTCGGTGGCACCGTATTGGCGACGGGCCTGGCGGTGGCTGCGAGCCTCAGCGGCATCGGCGGCGGCGAGAGCAGCCAAGAAGGCAACGGTAAGCTTCATCATGATGAAAGTTCAAAAAATCCTGGCTCTTAAAACTGAAGGGGTATTTGACGGGAATTCAAAAGGTCCAGGCGAAAACGTTGATAATCCAGGAAAGAGTGACTGGATGTTCAAAGAATGTGATGTCCGAAGACAGTTGATAGCGAGTGTGGTAAGGAAAAGTTGCCTTGGGTGAGGAGAAAAAACACAGCGAGGGAGGGCGGTATATGAACTCTCTGGCTGACAGTTGCAGGATGGGGCCTAAGCACCTGGGTGGCTGCTAACGGCAGCACAGATGCGCCTAAGATGGTCGGCCCCTGGCGGGTGTTAATTTCGTTCAGGAACAACCGGCGGCAGGGGCCAGTCAGCGGCGTTCTTAGCCAGGAACAACTTCAGGGGGATGCATGAGCCTAGCCACTCAGGAGGGCCAACGCGGAAGCTCGAGGCATGGCAGCCGCTGGGAAATGCGCCGGTCGCGAGCTCTCGTCGCTGAGAGGCGAGACTCTTCGTTGCCGTCGACTCGCAGCGCGGTGAAGCCGCTGGGAAAGAGGTCACGATCTTCTGCCTGCTCGCCCCCCGTCGCGCTGGACGTGTGCGCTGGGATGGCCCTCGATGGTCTCGTCAGTCCGTCTCTTTGCGTGCCGACAACCCCCATAGATTGCGTTTCAAGGCGCTTGGCCAAAATAGAAAGCGACCATGGCGCAGATCCTCCCTGCTAGAAGCATCGACAGGAGCGGGTACATGGCAGATGCGCGCTGTCGGTGAAGGCACACAACCGTGCCGAGATTCAGCGCAAAGACGCAGCCGGGCGAGACAAAAATGGACTCGCGCAGGCATGCGTGAGATTCGGTCCATTCTCCACTGCCAGCACACGGTGCGACAGGAGAGACATCAGCTCGTGTTGAGGGCGCTTTCGTGTTTGCGGGGACGCTTGTCGATAGGCGTGGATAAGGCAGCGGTGGAGCAGGCGATGGAGTGTTGGCCGTCTTTGTGCAAGCGTGGGCCATGGTGCGACGCGCGACCGCGACCTGCGCCTGCCGCCTCGCATGTCTGCACAAAGGGCCCCAAAGTGACTTCATCGCCGGCGCGCCTGAGTCGTCGTCGCTTTCGACTATCCCATGGTGAAGCACTGGAGCTTCCGTGGCTTCTAGTCGGCATCGCGATCCCTTCTGATGTCGCGTCGCCTGCAACGGTCCGCCGAACGAAGCCACAGTGCCACACGTCCTGCGTCCTTGCTCTCTCTGCTTCAGGCGCCCAGCCAGGCCACACCCTACCATGTGCATTTGAGACATGCCACCGCTGTCAGTGCATTTCCGCATAACACACAGCCACAACCCCGTTCCCATCCAGCATTCGCGACTACTTTGACCGTCTCATCCTGTCGCAAGTCCTCAACTGCCTGAAAGCCTCAA